AACACCCAAATCTAGGTGAGTCTTGGCCACTCCAGTTGGTTTAGGTCACAGATAAATTAGTCTGAGCTTCTATTCTTACTATAATATTTTAAAAGTAGATTTAAACTTTATATAAAAAACTTAGTTAAATATTCAATAAAGATAGAGGCATGGCTTTACCATTAACATTAAAAAAAAAAAAATTTTATAATAATATTAAAAAGCACCAACTGATGAATTTTCATATGTTACCCAACATCAAGTTATTATATTAGTTCAAAAAAGTTATAACAAAAAAATATATATTTACCAATAATCAATTAATATTAGCTAGACAATATTTGAAAAATAATTATCAATTTAAATTCCTTTTTTAAGACCAAAACTTGTTGTCTTTTTTAAGCTTCTTGTTATTCATATTACCAAATAAAGTTACAAAGATAATCATAATTGATGCTATATATAGTACAAATTGTTTAAAATTTGAGCTATATATTGTTATTGAAATTATTAATAATTCTATATTTCCTTTATCATATTTTTTTTTTGAACCAAAATGTAATAAAATATAAGCAATTACAAGATAGTTTTTATATTTAAAGAAAAATGGGATTTAAAACATTAAAACTATTTTTAATAGATAAGAATTATGAACAAATAATAACTGCTAATAAAATTTAGACTAAATTAAGAATTTAATTATATTATTGGCACATAATATGTGTAATAAAAAAAACTTTCAAGTACTAGTATCATGTAAATCACTATAATGCTTATAAGACAAATTTATTTTGTTCAATTATAAATTCTGAATAGTAACCAGTTCAGAAACAATTTGATAATAAAACAAAATCTTTTGACAAAAGAATTTTCATGAAATAATATTTTAAATAGTTTGTATTCATTTTTTGTGACACCCTCTAATACTAGTAGAACTTCCACTAAATTTTTTTAATGCAAGTCAAATTTGAAACAAAAATGTCAAGAAACAATAAATTATTATTATAAAAATAATTTAAATCATATTTAGACTTATTTGTAGTTTATGTAGTACCAACTGGAAATGTGGAAACTGTAGGCATGTGCTTCAAGGCCAAAGCTTAATATTCTATGAACTACAATGATTATTAAAAATTATTGGCAAATTCTAAAGCATAATTTTTTTTCAAATTATAATCGAGCATAATTAGACTTAATTATTCATATTATTATTGCAAAGATTATATCTCATCAAATTGATTGGCTATAATTATTACATGATAATTAATGTATATCACATTGGCAAGAAGAATTTTGACTTGAATGAAAAAATTTAATTACACAAATAATTAACATTAATTCTATTCATATTACTGATTCTTTACATTGAATATATTCATGTCAAAGTTTTTTTTAAGTCAGTTTTATTTGTGTAAGCATTTAGTACAGCTTTATGATCTCATTGAAACAGGATTTTTTAGAAAGTAAAAGACAATTATTTAGTTATTTATGTATCTTAAAAATATTAATTCTTTTTATTTTAAGATAACACATCAAGAGTTTTATTCATTATTGAAAATCAAAGATAAAAATGACTTTGCTGATTTGCCTGAAGATTTGTGTACTATTGTTGAAAGTCTAAATACTTATGAATTAATTGTGAGAAATGAATATGAAGATATTTTGCAATCCAACATTCAAGAGATCTCTACAAATCAAGTCCACAAGCAACAAGAATCTATTGAACAGTGTTTAACGGATTTTGATATTGCTGAGGATAATCAAGATCTAATTTTGTTCCAAACCTGAAAAAAGGCTTGAAAACCAAAATCATATTCCAAATATCGCAACAATAATACCTTCTGGCTATAATCAATCATGTAAAGTTTAATTTGAATTAAATAAAGTATAATTATCTATTGCTCAGTTTTAATTATCTGTTTTCTTGTATAGTAAATATTATAAGTACAAATCAATTACTATTTTAAGCTTCAAATATTAAATTTGATATTTTTAATAAAGAATTAAATTTTCGTATTAATGCCACTTATAAGTATGTACAAGTAAATTAATTATTTAAATTATTAGCTGTTAAGAATGTTTTCTATCATTTTGGGTATGGCAAGCACAAAAATTTTAATTTTTTAGATTAGTAGCGATAAATTAATTTTTTATATATCGATATCGATCTATAGTATAGTATATTTTTTTTGTCGTACAAAATGTGATCTGTATGATGTGATCTTCGAAATTTTTTTGGGTGGCGATTTTACCCCAGTTGCTAATGCAGGCCAAATAATCTCATATTAAAAATTCCGCGCGGGATCCAAAAAAAATCCGCACATCCGCGCGTGGCCCATCACTAGTTGGGGCAGGGTCAAATTTTATAATATTAGTCATTTCATGGTGGAAATAACAAATTACCATGGTAGAATAGTAATTCCATTTGTTAATTATCGGCTGTTGATCCAGTAAAACATAAATTACACTGACGTTTTCCGTCATTTGAAGGTTTAAAAAAGGCATATTGTTAAAGCGATTGTTATTTCCACCATGGATATTTAGATGATAGACAGAATTAGGGTTTGGGTCAGGGTCAAATTTTATAATGTTAGTCATTTCATGGTGGAAATAGCAAATTACCATGGTGGGAAATAATAATTCTATTTGTTAATTATCGGTTGTGATCCGGAAGAACACAAATTACACCGATATTTGCCGTCGTTTGAAGGTCTAAACTAAGTTATTTTATTGATTATAGGCTGTGATCCGGAATAGCATAAATTACATTAATGTTTGCCGTCATTTGAAAGCCTAAAATAAGACGTCTATTCGGAATTTGGGCATTTATTAGAACAAATATTTGGAATGCGACACTATATACGTGTCTTTAAAGGAATGCATATAGAGTGGAATATACTGTATGACGCTAATTCTCAACCTTTCATAGGCACTTATATGCAAACCGTTTTCACCCGGGCCACCGGATTTCATTATACGGATGACCTGAAACAGGAGCGACCATTCAAATTCGTGGATTATTCCGATATAATTACACGTGATTGTCAACCAATCATATCTGCAAATCGACAAATCAGGATACAAAAAAAGTTGTGGGATTCAATGGAGATTAAAAATATGTTATAAGGAGAAGAAAAAACATTAATTCATCTGTTAAATTTACTCTCGTTTCATAGAAAGTTAAGTTCCACGAGCTTTTAAAAGAAGTATTGTAAACCATATTATCAATCGTATAAACCATATCGGAATCATCTAGGAATTTGAATGGTCGCTCCTGTTTGATGACCAGATGACAGTTTTACATCCTGTTCCAACCTCTAAGAAAAATCCCATTTGAAAACAAGTTCCAAAACGGTGATTTTCTAATATGTTAAAGTTTTCATTATGCTGAACAAGATTCATGCGTGTACAATCAGTATTCTGATCGTTTCAGTAACTATACTTGCTGGTAATACTATAAGGATTTTGATTTTATTATATTTGGAATTGGAATTTGGGACTTGAGATTTGGAAGGGATTATGAAGATTTATTTTGGGAAGCAAATATATCAGTAAACACATATCAATATAAGATATAATTTCTTGCATCATGTAGCGTACGTACAAAATATTCAGGTGCATGCTATCGAAATTAGTGAAATTTTTTAATTTTTACTTACAGGTTTTCACTTTGCACATTCATATGATTTATCGAGCTGCATCAAAAAGGTGATCTTAACATGACTAATCTATTAATCAGTTTTCGCGTTTTATCAGTGTGAAACCTCCAGGTTCGTCTAACACCTAAAGTCAAGATCGTTATCATGAGCATTTCTGATTTCGTATTTCAAATATTCTGCAATAAATTTCTAAAATAGGTACGATTTCTCATTTACTGTATATACGTAGTAATTACTGTAAGCCTTTATGCAAGAAATGCATTGTAATCGTTACGCGTAATAAAATAAAAAAGCATAAATACCCAATTAAAGATTTAATTGGTCACAACAGCTTGTCGTTATACAGTACTAATCCAATTACTTTATTAAGAAAAGGACAGATTTTCAAAACGTAACATACTTATGTACTATTTATATGTGTAGATTTCCTTATTTTTTGTCCTTCAATACTGTCAGTTTTGTTTACTTGTTCTAGCTTGCCCGTTAGCTATCTTTTTTTTTTTAAAAAAAAAATCAAAGGTATCATTGATCGCCATAGACGATTTTAAAGATGTCAAAAGAGGCGAAAATCGATATGATGCTTCCATCAGAGCAAAAACAGTATCGTCTAAAAACTAATTTATACATGGCGATTTTCATAATAATATTTGTAATGATATTTCCCTCGTATTATAAAATTAATGATTATTATCTGCCTGATTCTATAGAAAATGATTTTGATATTGATAATAGCAATAGTAACAATAAAAATTATGGAATCAATACATCAGGACACTACAAAATTCTACTTCTGATCACATCTCAGATGGAAGAGTACCAACATCGTAAATTATTACGAAGCGTTTTGTTTGGTATAAATGATAATATAGATCCTTGTATGAAATATGACACAAATATTTATTATAAGTTTTTAATTCCTCCATATAACGTTAGTAAACAAATGTACAAAAGTTTTGTTAGTGAAAGTGTAGAATATAATGACATAGTCGAATTTCAACATTTACCTGATTTAAATCTGAATTTTACTCAAGAAATTGTTCTTAATTGGGTAAACATATTAATATTCTATTCTTTACGTCCAAAGTTTATATCTCGATATTAATTGATTATTTTTAACTTATATTGACTTGTTATCTTATTTTTATTACGTGCAGACTCAGTCGCTAAAAAATTCTGGCATATCATTTGATTTTGCGGTACTTCTTGATAACAACTCCATCATAAATCTTTCAAAGCTTAAAAGGATCATATCCACTTTCAATATCTCTCCAATTCAACTTCAATATCTTATATGGGGTCGATTTGACGATTCTTTTGCTGAAGATATTTTTGTAATTCTTGGAAATAAAGCTATTCAAACAATCCTAGCTAATAAAGACCTCATTAAAAAGTCTGATAATCAAAACATAATCAAACATGCTTATTTATATACAAAAGACAGACATACATCTCTTTCAGATAATTGGAATAAATTGCATTTCATTAATGATGATAAAAGATTTATCACCCTCCCTGAAAGATTTGATCTAATTCCTAAAAAAACCATAATGGTTAGAAAACTATCCTCAGAAGAAGAGCTAATCAAAGTTTCTATTCACCTTTTAATTCCACCCATATCTGTTTGTCGCTCTCACATTCCACTATACGGAGAACCATCAATAGCTATAGTAACTAGCTCTTATTCCTATGACAATATTAATAATTGTTCTCCATCAATGCTAGATGTAGCCTACATGTTATCAGAAAACAAACGAGCTTATGCTCAAAAACATGGTTACGCATTTATTCCAAGATCCTTAGAATTTCAATTACAAAATGATTCTAACCTAAATTTGTGGGGAAAAATTGATGCCGTGAAAAAAGTTTTACCTTATTATGATTGGGTACTTTGGATTGATAATGATGCAATTATCACAAATCAAGAGATTTCTATTATGGAACTTTTTACAAGATTTTATCAACTTTTAAAAGATAAGATTGATACGAAAAATAGTGTTAATGAAAAAATCATTGAAAATGAAAAGATGGTTCATCATAAAAAGCTTGATAAAAGAGAATTTTCACTCGATGATAATGAAAGATATTATGATGAGGGAGGTCCGTTGGATTATGCTGAAGATGATGATGTAAATTATGATCATGAAAGTTTATTTGATGATTTTGATTTTAGTGATGAGGATGAAGAGTATTACGATTATTTTAATGAGGATGATTCTGATGATGATGTTTATGATTTTATTGAAGATGAAGATGAAGGCATAGGTGAAAGCGAAGATGAAGGTTTCGCAAAACTGAAAAGATCTGAAGATGGTGTGAAACTACTTGATGAGAGGATACATTTTATAGTATCCAGGCCTAAAAAAGATACAATAACTAATACAGGAGCGTTTTTGATTAAGAATTCTGAATGGAGTTTTGAATTTTTGAAAAAAGTGCAAGAAATAAATAATTTGCAAGATGATAAAAAGACTGAACAAACATCTATGTGGAAACTTATTGATCAATACCTCAGTCTAAGGGATCGTGTACGTTCAATTTATTTAACTATTATTATTAAAAATTTAAATTTATTTACCTTGCTAAAATTATTTTTATTTTTTTTAGATATTGTTGCTAGATAATGATGACCATACATTTGAAACATTCCCTGATGTTTGGCAAAATGATGATTTTATTCTTCATTTTGCTTCTAATGATTGTAGCGCTAAATTTATATTAGATTATTTTAAAAAAAAAAATTAAGAAACGTTAATACATTATAATATAGATTTGTTCGGTATTGTATGTATTTAAATATATTTATTTTTTATTGGTTTAATTCTTATGGAGCTGTTGAATGAATCAAAATACTTATTTAATTTTCTGTTTAATAATAACAAAATCAGAGAATCAGAGAATGGTTCTGAATTTATGTGAATAGTTATTACAAATTACCAATTGCAAATATGATCATGACTCATGTAAATGTGTAGTCACAAACATAATTAGTATTCTACGACTACTATTTAATATTCTGCATTCACTCCTACTCCCAACATGTTGCCAATCTTCTGGTAGTCCAGGGTGGAAAACTATTACGTGAGGAACGTCTTGTGTTAATCTCTTACTTCTTCACAAGAATGCTGTAACCGTTGTGTTAAAAATAACATATAGCATTCAATAGATGTTTGAATCTAGCACAAACATTTGTCATCTTTTTATTAAAATGTTCTTATTCTTGTCCTCTCACACTAGCTAATATGTCATTGATAAATAATGATGTTACTCGTTATCTTCAATTTACATAATTTTCTAAATTATATATATGGTTTATATGTATTTTTGGAAAAAATGTTCTATAATTCTCTTCTAAGCCTTCTTGTATTGTCCTTTTGCATATTATGATTCATCACCATAACTAAAGACTCTTAAAATTTGATTAAATAATTACATGAAATGCAATCATGAAATGGAATCGCGGATTGATTATTACATGAAATTCACGTCACCTAAAGAATGGAACGCGTTGTCGCGTTATATGCAACAATTTCTCACGTGTCCGGATTTTATATCAGGATGATCTAAATTGATTGACTGTTTGTTACTATAGTATTACAGTATTAGTAACTGTAATAACAGTTATTACATAATTACGCAATGATTTTTTCTTTAACAGTTAATGTTAATTAAACATAGTTAATTTTTATTTTGTTATACTTTACATAACTGTTACTACGTCTTAGAGTTAAAAATCATTGCTTAATTTTTGTGTAATGACTTCTTTTCCAACAGTAGTAAAAAGCTATATAAATGGTTGCTTGTTGCTTACCTTCGATATAATCGAATAAAAAGAATACTTCAAACCTATCAATGCGCCTTGACATTTTAAATCTAATTGCAATATACATTACACCCATACAAATACGAAAGTGATGATGTTTATATTTTTGTGAACTTATCCAGGTAAATAAGAGATCGCTAATTTAAAATCAATTATATTTTATTGTGCAACTTCACATCGTAAAAGGTTTTAAACTGATATTAATCTTGAAAATTTTTTAGAAAGTCAAATCTGATTTTACATTGTATTTGTTTTAGCTGCTTATATGTCACGTATAGTATTGCGTAGAACATCCAAAAACAAATTAAGGTATTAAAGATCAATATCTTACGCGTTGTATCTCTGGAATTAGTTTCAGTCTGTTTATTATACTGAGTTATAAATATTCCTAGAAGGACTCTTGCACTCAAAAGGAATTTTTTAGTTTACTCTTTGGATTTAATATCGGGATATTGACAAGTGAAGATTAAGGAAAAAGAGCGTTGATATAAACAGCTTTGATACATATCAGTTTTTGGTAATGACTTTTGGCCTCTGCAACATTCCACCAACAGTACTTTCTTATTAATTATCGAGTGTTTAACATGCATGAGGGTGTAAGTTACGCTGTTGAATGTGACGATCAATCCACCTGTTTAGACACCAATGAACTATGAGGGAATGAATTACCCACATTATTTTCTTCTAGAATATAGATTCTATGTAACACCAAAATACATGACATGATGTATATGAAGTGATTTTGGGGAGTTATATAGATACCGTCAAAATTGTAGAATTACATTTCGCATTATATGATAATTAATGCAGGTGTTGTGGCAATGCGGAATTTCGAAATCTTGTAAATTAATTGTGACGCATGATAGTGATGGATGGTAATTATTAAATACTTGGTTTATATGCTTCGTGTTATGATGATTGTTTCATGTTATTTATTACTGTAGGTTATGATTTATCTTAGTCCATGTTTAAAAATAACAAATAAATCTGTATTGACGGTACATATTTATTATGTTAAATAAAATATAGTTTGATGAATATGAACTATGTATAAAGAATAAATATATATAGTTAACTTCTTTACCCCCTGATGAAATGTTTTTACATATTATTTAATAAGCAATTGCGTCACTGCTAAATAAATTCAGATTAGATAAAATAAAATGAAATTATCCGCCACATCCACCACCACATCCACCACATCCACCACCACCACATCCACCACCACATCCACCACTACCACTACCACATCCACCACCACATCCACCGCTACCACATCCGCCTCCGCATGCGGAAATGTTAGTAACAACTCCACAAGTGCCTTTGCATTCAAAAGGTGTAGGAGCAGTCAATGGAACACCTATTTGAATCATGTCAGTTTAATAATTATGTTTATTAAAGAATTATTAAAGATTATTGAAAAAAACCACGTACCATAAAAAAAGATAAAGCCCGGACTAATACCACACGCGCCTGAATATTTATTAATTCTAAAATTTAATAAAACAAGATTATTTTAATTTTCCGAGGATATAGCACGAAAACAGCACAACAAAAATATTATATATATTACTCTTTTTCATTAATCTCTTCACTACTTTTTGCTGAAGAGATTTGCGCATTATTTTTCTTAACTGTTCCTTTTTTGTATTTGTTTATCTTATACATAAGATAGATAGCATAGGGTGGCAAGACTACAGCAGCAATCATCTTCTTGGTTGTTAGCCAATACTTTTTTGGATGTTCACATGTGTATGGTTCATTGAATTTTTTATACCAAGCACTGGAGGTTTCAGCAAATCCATTAGAAAGCGTCGATTTTGACAAAGTATCATCGTGGTTAATGATTCGATTCATATGATTCTTTGTGAAATTACGGTATAAAGGAGCATGAAGCATATGAGTATGCCAGCAAAGATCAATATCCAATGTTGGAACAAAGCATCTGTTAGCATCTTTTTGTAGAAGAAGAAATTTATGATATCGAACAGTTGCTTGAGCTTGGACAGCAGAGTTATTAATCCAGGCATTATCGACCATTTTATTGGTAAATTCACGTTGACGTATAACAGCACTCACAAGTCCAATTGAAAATGGTAATGTAGTGCCACAATAAGCAAGAATAACGTTTAGAGTAACTCCAATGCGCACATTTTTAAATAATTGTTGAGATTTTAAGTCCTTGATTTGGGATTTTATGCATTTGACAATTTTAGTCCAGTTACAATTTTCAGGACTTTCTTTTATCATTCCTAGAAGGTTCTTCCAAGGAGTACTCGTTAAATTGAATAAATAATCTGAGTCAGAAATCGCTTTATCCACATTATATTCGCCATTAGCAGTACTAACCAGAGTGCCTCTATTTTAATGAGTCGTAAATATTTAGGTGTACATTGTTATGCAGTAAAATTTGGTTGAAATATTGATATTGTATTAAATATACGTACGCAATATAAGCTTTCTTTCCATCGTTGTACTTTTGAATGTCATCCATAAATTTCTTAGCACTCAAACTTTCTATCGATAATTTAAATTTACATTTGCTACAAATTTCAACATGCTTTGGGTTTCTCATTAACTTTACGTAATTATTACTAAATATTAATGATAAGTTTTTTATTTAGTGGGATTAAATGTGTTTAAAAATCACTATATATAACAAACTTACGCAGCTATCATTAATGTCGTAAAGCACCATGGGCAAACCAAATCGAAATCTGAGGTATCATTTGGGTCAAGAACCCATGGTTGATTAGTATTCTTTTCCCAAAATTGTTTTGATCGCTCATCAATGTGCTCTCCATTATTTTGCCTCCAAATATCGTGCTATTAAAACATAGATTAATGACGATGAATAACTTCAATACGTAAATTTTGACAAAAAAAAAAAGAACCAAATGCATTATGCATTTACAGGATACTAACTATCTTTGCCAATGGAAATAAATATTCTTTATTACTCAAACGGCTAATATCTTCAAAATATCGTAATGGTGAAAGTAAATGCGCGTGCCAAACTTGGCATACGTCTAGAACAAGTTTTTTAGAGAACAGAATTTAGCGTTTACATTAATAATATACAAAATTTAAACCAAAAATTTAGTAAATCTATGGAATATATTAATGCATATTAATGCATATAAAATTTTTACTTGATAAATAGATACAGTCAATTCTCGTAATTAGAAATATGCTCACAAAAAACTTGTAATATTTGCAATTGAGATTAATTTAATCAAATGACTTGCACTTAACGACAAACAAAATTCGCTTATCAACCGAGAATTGACTGTATTCATAATTTTTAAATATAGTATATATAGTATTATAGGCCTGGTTTATAAACATACCAATTGGTGGAATAGGAACATTATCATTGTCGTTAAAAGACTCATTATTTAATACTTTTAACCATAATAAGTATCTTCTCTCGGCACGTAATAAATATTGTTCATCAATTACACTATTCTGCTGTTCCAGAGATTTAAATTTTGCCAACGTTGCTAAATGCGCATGTAACATTTGAATGTTAACTACGCCATCAATGTTTACTTGTTCTACTCTGGTTACTGGTGTAGTTAAATCGGACATTATCGTTGCTTCAGAGGTTACTTTATTATCGTTTGAAGGCATGTCATTCTTTGGAAATGAAAGTTGAGAGAAAGTCTTTGAAGGTTCCTCCATATTTTCGTTGTATTCTTTAAACAGAGATGATAACTTCAAAAGTACTGTGACCATACATATTTATGGTTTTTTTGGAAATTCTGTAGCACCTAGTACTGTGTACATACACTTTTTCGATTTAATTAATTACAGCCCAATCGCAATGATAAATATTAATAATACAAATAAAGAAATCTCTTACTAAAATAATTTGTTAATACATAAATCGCTTTAACCCGACAAATTTGTAAATATGTATAAAAAACTTTTAGTTAATAGCTAATGTAGGTCACGCATTTATATTAATGTTTTGACATTCCAAGAATTCTGTAAATCGTGATAGAAAAAAATTCTTAAAATTTTCTCTAACAAAGAATTCCTCTCATAATCTTTACTTTTAAACCTTCATTCAATCCTAATATAACCCTAACTTTAACTTCGAAATAGCTTAGTTTAATTCAATTTAGACCAAATGATCGACAAAATCTGACACAGATTTCTTTCATAATACACGGAAACTTGGTTGCATTTATGTTAGCATATTTATCCTAAAATTTGTGCCATATTATCGTGTTACGTATCAGGAACGAAACAATATCAGATATGTAAGTATCACGAATACTACACGTATAAATAACCATTAATTAGATTACAGTAATATTATTTTATTGACCTTTTTTGACGCCAAAATCTGGCGGTGATAGGGATGTCTATTGGTACCCCATTGGATATCATTACATGTGTTAAGAACGGAGTATATACAATATCAAGAAATGCATGCAATTTAATAATGTTCGTCCTTAAAAAAACTAATATCTAATTGATTGATGTATTTAAAAACGTGAATTCTGAATTTAAACTTAATGACATTGCAGCTCACTCACTCTAGATTCTTGCTTAGTTACCAATTTGAATGAGAAAAGAATGTGAAATGCATTGATTCATGATTTTTATATTTATTTTTCTATAGCATATATATATATATTGCATTACTCAGTGAAGCAAATTGTTTTCTTTAAAACTTAACATCTAATCAGCCTAAACTTAAAAATAATTTTCCTGATAGTCAAATAAATTTAGATTTAAGTTTATCTAAGTTGCCACATCTGGCAAATTGTATCAAAAATTAATAATCAAAAATAAATAAAAAATAAAAAATTTCATAAAAAATAATAAAAATTATATATAACAATAAATATCATATCCATTAATATTAAAAAAAAAATAAATAAATAAATATCATATCAGATATCCTAAAATGCCCATTGTTTATGAGTTTTAAAAGGCAATTAAGATCTGCTTTCGTACTATTCCATTTAGAGAATTTGATGAATGCCTTGCTCTTTTCTTTAATAAGAATAGCCCATTACTGGATTTTTTTCTTTCTAAAAAAAAAATCAAATCAATTAGCATATCATATAAACGCATTTAGATCATGTGCTATGGCTAAGTAATCATTACTTGTTTCAAATTCTATATTACTCTCTTTAAATCGATGATTTTGACACATTTCCATCCAGATATTTTGCGTACCATTCTGTTTATAGAATATAAATTTTGATCGGCCACGACTATCAGATTACGTACATACGTATCAATGACGTTTTCTAAAAAGTAAATAAAATATGTAATAGATATTCCACGAATATCATGGATTAGCACGGCGTAATCCATGACGTCACGACACACCGTTGAATATCTGATATATTTCACGGTTCCTATGCCCGTAACATTTCTGATTGAAATTTTTAATGATGATGTAATGCCCGTGGAATATTTTCACGACATAAAAATATCATCAAAAATGTTCATGGGCAAACATTAGAAGCCGTGGAATATAATAAAATATTATATCTGTTGAGTACCCTTATGTCAAAAATTCTCTGTATATCTAACATTAAAAATTGTGTTATATGAGTAAAATTTCATTCTGAAACTTTTACTTAGAGGTCGGAAATTAGTTGTCATAGTAAATTTTTGTGTTATTTACAAATATTTATTCTTTTCACGTTCGTTTTGTTACACAATATCCTGTAATTTTATTGGATCCGGTTAGGGTCGGAAGTGATCTTCAGCCCGTGATTTTCTTATTGACCTGTTATCATTCTATTTATAGAATGATATTCTTTCAGTCGATTCACAATTCTAAAAATAAATTTAGCATTATTTGACCTCTTTATAATTATAAATATAACGATAAATAATAAAATAAATTATTAATAAAGAATTATTTGTATTTGTATCATATAAACATCTGAAACTTGAAAGTCCGGAGTCTGTACTGCATCAACAGAACAACCCATATGGCTAATTTACGGAATTGTTATTCCGACTGTTTTCAAAAAGGTGTGAACAACGATTTCCATATACCTATGTGAGAAATCGAAGAATCGAGGATTTCTGATTAGTCAAAATTGAAGGTCCGATTATAGTAGTTTGCAAAAAGATGTGACCCCACGATTTTCATGATAACGATAGTGGAGAATTTCGAAGATTCTAGATTTTCTATCAATCATATATTCGATCAGTGATATATATGTTGTAGGTGGATTCGGAATCCACTTAAGTGGATTTTGAATCAACTTAAGTAGATTCCGAATCTGGAAACGACTTAAGTGGAAATAGAATTTTAAAAATTTTAAACAATATAAATTCCGATAATAAAAAAAACTATAATTTATAAAAGCAGCGCATAATTATCATATTATTTATTTTCTACAATATTAATAAAGAACATGTTCTCTATTTTTGCATTTATTACTATGTGGATGACACCCGTTTCCACACACCAAATTAGAACGTCTACAACTACAAGAATTAATTTTGCATTCACCCTTGCAATTACACTTCGTGCCAGTTACAGTAGAAACAGACTGCATTCTTGCAGCTTCTTGTACACTAATAATTTTGTCTTGACAAACTTCAAGTTCTTCATATTCTAATGGCCCAAGTGGTATAATTTCATTTGCATTGTAGATAGTTTCAAGTATCCCACTTTTACATTGTAAGCGATATGTTTCTTTTGGCAATTCCTCAATTACTTTGCAAGGCAGAGTAGGCTGATCAATGGCATTACAATCTATTCTTGAAACTGCAATACATATGTAATCATTAATCGAATATTTAAGAGGATGCTTATTATTTTTCCTTAACATTTAATCTTTTATTTGGTTTTGATATTCAATAAGTAATTTATTTGTATATTCACAGGATAGTTGATGTGATTGAATATTTTGAATTTCTTACAAATTCTGTTGATTTACAATTAATAATTTATGTTGATTTAATGTTAATGATTTAGGTTGGTATAATGTTTCAGATTGATGTAACAATTCAGATTGGAATAATGTTAATGAATTTTGTTTTTGATTTAAAGAAAATTCCTAATTTGGTATTAAAGATCTGGATTAATTTAAAATTAAAGATTCTGAAAATTCTTGATTTAAAATTAATGATTCAGATTGATTAGATGAAAAATCAGACTGGTTTAATAAATATTCATTATTATCTGATTTTTTAAAGAAATTATTAGACAATTCCTTCTCATCTATAACATTTTGTTGATGCAAATCTTCAAGTATAGAAAAATTCTTAACAGGATCCTGTTCAAATACAAGCATATATGGTGATTTTCTAGTTGCACAACATATTTGTATATTTATTGCATCTAAATATAGAATAATAACATTATAGTTATAAATTATTTATATTATTAATATTTATAATAAAATTAAATATTATATGTATATATATATGTACATAATATATATATGTATTATTAATTATAATCCTTTTGTCTAATTATCAGTTTTATTATCTTCCATCTATTTTCTAAGCTTGGTTTGCAAAATCTCATTATCTTGTTCAATTAAGTCTTAAGACTGTGGGTGTCTTGGATGCCTATTGATAATATGTACACTAGGCCAAAGTGTTAACAATTCTTTAATTAGATCAGCAATAAACTCTTTATCATTATCTGATTACAGAATTGTTGGTGCTTCAAATACTACAAAAACATTATAAAGAAATATAGTTACTCAGAAGCAGATTTGCTTATAAGATATCGAGCCTAAGAAAATCTGGTAAAGTAATCACGTAGATGACAAATATATTTATATGCTCCTACAGATTAAAATATTAATCCAATTAAATTTACTTGTATACAAGAGAGGAAACCTGATGTTACAATTGGCTTTGCAGAAAGAAAATTAGGAAATAATCGATATGTAGCACATGTCTTGCAAGCATCACAAAACTTCTTTATAAATGATTGAGGAATATAATTATATTGTTTTTCAACCTAATAAATATAATTGTTATTATTTGTTATTATAATTTTATAAATACATAGAAGAATTATGGATTTACTTACAACATTTCACATTTTAGATGATTCAACATGTTTTAAAATACTCATATGAATCTTACATAATATATCATAAATATGATTAAAAGGATATATAGTACATATTAATTCTAATCTATTTTCATTTCTGACAACAGTAATAATTTGAGTATTTGAATTCATTTCAGTTTCCAACTCTCATAACTAAAAAGAATTTTTAATCCAATATTGATCTTTTGGAGTTCCCAAATTTATATTAGTAAGATCATATAGTATTGCAATAATAAGATTATAATCAGATTGTGTAATAAAGGTTTTGCAACATCTAGCAAGTGATTTTTTGTCAAGAAACTTATTAACTAATTCATTAAAAACTTGTCTTGACATAAAGGAATATTCTTGAGTTAACATTTTAATAATAAACTTTTACGAAATACAGTACAATTATTTTAAATATGTTTATTTATAGTTACTAATATTCGATTATATAAATGATATTTATTATGATAAAAACTCTTTCTGTAAATCCTTTTTACACAAAAATAACTAAAAATCCGTCAGTACTAAAATCGTCAATACCTGATTATTTTATTAAGATAACCAACTTTGGTGTCTTAAGTAAACTTGCTCAGCTCCTAATTTTACATATACCCTGAAAGTTTCAAGTTTATAACTTTCGAACTCGCAGTTTAATATTGCCAAAACGGCCTTTGGCCTTCACTACTAAACTTTTAATTATTTCGCATAAAGCATTCTATTAACCTATTCTACAGTCATAAGAA